CAAACTTTCTTGGTGAGGGCAGATGTGGGATGTCCAGCATGGAAAATCAGCATCCTATCAGCCCCACCCTCAACAAGCTGAAGCCGTAAACCTTGAAGTAATAATAGTAATATTTGGGAGTTTCCCAAAATTAGGGGTACCATTTTGGGGGGTCTATAATAAGGATTATAGAATATTGGGGTCTATAGTGGGGTCCCCTGATTTCGGGAAACTGCCATTTATAGTAATGTTAGTAACTATAAGCCTTACACCCTCAAGCCTCAAACTGAACTCTGCGAGACTGAGGCTGCTGGGGGGCACCAGTTCGCAACGACTCTTACCCTTGAGTTGTATTCAATTTGAGGGTTTGTAGGGTTTAGGATTGGGTGTAGGGTTTAGGGTTCAGAGTTTAGGGTTTAGGTTTAGGGTTTGTAGGGTTATATGGATGGAGGGTTTAGGGGTAAGTATTTTGGAGCATCAAGTGGAAACGAAATGGACACGAGGAATAGTGTAGGGATTATGTAGTGTTTGGGCTCTTAAATTTTGGCTTAGCCTGCACAAAGCAGGAAAAGCCAAGTTTTGAATTCACTCCCCCGGCGATTCTCCATGTTCCATTCCATTTGATTCCCCATTCCCCAGACCTTAAACCCTAAACCCTAAGGGTTTAGGGTTAACCCTCAACCCTAAAAACCCTAAACCCTATATAGCCCATTATAATAGCTTTCATGTTCTTTTCCATTATCCCTTATATGACCCCATTGTAGCAGTTTCTATTGTCTTTTCCATTATCCCTTATCACCCAGCTAAACCCTAACACCCTAAACCCTCAAAACCCTAAACCCTCAAACCCTAAACCCTCAAACGCTAAGCCCTCAAACCCTAAACCCTTCAACCCTAAACCCTCAAACCCTTAAGAACTATTTCCTGGGCATTGCGCCTGCTGAGGATTTGGACTCGAGACTTCTGCCATGCCGTAGGCTGCCGGGTTGTTTAAAAGGAGTAGGTTAAGGGTTTAGGGTTTAGGGTTTAGGGGTTAGGGTGCCTTTCGAGGGGATGTAGGGGTTATATGGGGTTTAGGGTTTAAGGTTTAGGGTTAAGGGTTAGGGTGCCTTTCAATGGGGATGTAGGGGATGTATAGGTTTTAGGGTTTAGGGGTCAGGGGTTTATAGGGGGTGTAATGGAGAAGCAAGCGGAAAAGAACATGGAAAATGAAATGGACACTGGGATTATGACGGGGGTTGTATAGGGCTATATAGGGAATATATAGGGATAATGGAAAAGAAATGGAAGCTGCTAATTTAGGGTGTAGGGATTGAGGTTTTAGGGTTCAGGATTCAGAGTTTAGGGTTTAGGGTTTAGGGTTTAGAGTCTAGAGTTTAGGGTTTCAGGGTTTAGGGTTCAGGGTTTACAGGGATATACAGGCTGGTTTGGGGATTTAGGAGTGGTAAAATACCGTTGATTCAAATGGAAGATGATATTGATACCAAGTCCAAGTGGGGAAAGCTGCCTGGATTGTGCGTTCTTGGCCCACCACACCAAGTTCATAGGTTTCCCTACTATACCTCCCCGAATACTTCCCCCCCAACAGGTTGAAATTTAGTTAGGGTTGCTTATGGAATAAGTAGGGCTGATGAAAGATCACTCAGTTTGGAACCATGGGGGGGCAGGGTGTAGCATGGGAGGCGGGGGGGTAAACCTAGATAACCCTATATACCCCAAGAGAACCCCATATACCCCTGTACAAACCTATATACCACTATATAAACAAATACCCTAAACACTATACCCTATACCCTGAACCCTAAACCCTATACCCTAAACCTTGTAAAAAAAAGAAGCCGTGAAGAGAGTGTGCTGGGGAGGCAACATTGGCCGGGCTTCCGAAAACCTTAGCAACTTATAACGAGCGCAAGGAAGCACACCCTTGACTGTAGGTTTTGTTGAGTGTGGGGCTTAGCACTTAGGACCCAAGGGCGCTTAAGTCAGGATTATTAACTGTCATCATTTGCCCTGAAAACCTTGAACCCCAAAGTCTGCAAGACTTCATCAAATGCGATCGGAAACTACCGCGGCCCTCTGCCCAAAGACTTCTGGGATGCTGTTAAGGGACTTAATCTAAGTCCCTGACAGGGACCCTTACCAAAAGGTAATATTGGGGTTATATGGGGGATAATGGAAAAAAAATGGAAATTACTAAAATGGGTTATATGGGTGGTGTATGGGTGTTTACTATGATAGGGAATGCATAGTTTTTCGGGTGTAGGGATAGTATAATACCCCCAATAGCGGCGAATCAAATGGAAAGAATGAACCAAGAAGTGGAATCTGTAGGGTTTGTATAGGCGGCTAGAGGCCGCGAATTAAGTTACCTTTAGGGTTTGGGGTTTAGGGTTTGGGGTATCGTCTACAATAAATACATGCTTCGGGAACTCAAGCTAAGTTTCCCCAACATCAACCGGGTAAATCTCACATGGGAACGAGCGGCAGCTGAGCCTACGAAAGACGTTTGTGCGTAGCAGCGTCACAAAATGCAGTCGTTTCCCGCAGTCGCCTTTTGAACTGGTATAGTATCTTGGCATCAATGTATATGGGCCCCTTATTTTGGGAAATCCGCATACTCTTCAAGTCTACCAACTCAAACTCTGAACCCCTTAGCCTTTTACATCCTTCAACCGCAGACCCCTTCACGGTGAATCCACAAAGACCCGCACCCAATCTCTGAACCCTAAACCCTAAACCTATATGGGAAGTTCCCAAAATTGGGATCCCGTTTTGGTTATATATTATATCACGGCACCTAATATTTAGGGGTACCGAAACGAGAACCCTAATTTTAGGAACTACCCATCTTCTGGGGTCTATAAAATCCCTGAACCCTAAACCCTAAACCGCGTAAAATTCCTGGAGAGGTGGCCTGCTGCAGCAGGAAACCTGGAAAATCGGAGATGAGCATGTTCCGCTGCGGGCTTGGACGGTGGAGGGGTTATATAGGGATAATGGAAAAGATAATGGAAACTAGTAAGGGTTATATAGGGGATATAGGGATTATGGAAGAGGAAATGGAAACTACTGATGGTTAAGGGCTTAGGATTAAGCGTTACGGAAGTAGGGTTTATGGTTTAGGGATAAGGGTTCAGGGATTTTAGGTATTAGGGTTTAGGGGTTAGAGCTTAGGTTTAGTTTAGAGTAACACCCCCAGTAAATGAGAATCAAATGGTCAAGAAATGCAGAATGGTATGGAAACTGGGTGTTAGGGTTTAAGGCCTACAAGGTTATGATTGGGTGTTTTTTAGGGGTTTTTAAAGGTATATGGGGGACATAGGGGAATGGGCAAGAGAATGGAAGCAGCTGCATTACTATCAGAGGGTGGGATGCTAATTATTTGGAAGTTCGTGGATCTTTTTGCGAAGGAATTTGGGACCTCAAAAAAAGACTCTTTAAAGAGCACAGTTGTCGGCGAAGGCAGGGAAAATCTCACAAACTCCCTAGGTCTTCGGTTTAGGGATTAGAGTTCAGGGATGAAAGCTTGAACCCTAAACCTCAAAGCATAATCCCTAAACCTTGAACGTAGTCCTCAAGGATGGGAATGGGGGATCGCATAGCGCCTATGGAAGAGAGGGTAAGATCCTTGTGATTGGGTGAGTAGAGTAGGCCCTATATCCCCCCCGCCATATTTCAGTAGTTTCCGAGATGGTGTCCATCCCAACATTTCTTGCGAACAACCAGAGAGACTGGCCCGCAAGACTAGCTTGACAGCTTCGTGTTACATTCCCCAAACTATCATGGAGACCCATATAGGACAGCAGTCTTTGTAGGGCCCTTTTTAGGGTTTCCATCCTCTTTAGGGTTTCCATGTTAGCTTCTGGGATTGCAGCCTTTAGCAGTTATGGCTTGATTCGAGTTGTCCATATCAGAGGCTTTTTGCAGCGACTTAAGAAACATCAAGCCGGTCAGCGTGAATGTGGAAGCAGTCTTCGCATTAGATGCCCCGCAACATGTCTAGGGTTTAGGGATATGAGGTCCTGTATAAAGGGAAGATTGAACTATCAGTGGGTGGGCGGGTGGGCGAAAGTGGCATGGGAGGGAAGACATCAAGCAAAGGGTCGGCCCAAGATACATCACCTTTTTGGATTTAGGGTTTAGGGTTTACTGGGTTGCTGTTAGGGGATTTACATTAAGTCACTATATTTCGGAAATCCTATTATTTACTGTATACACAAATATATTTTTAGAAAAACATATAGATATTACTCATTATGGTAACTTAATTTAAGTTCATTAACTTCCTACATTCCCCCAGTTTCCATCCATTTCATGATCCGTTTCCATTGGACTCTCCATCATATGTGAATAATATAGCCCTAAACCCTACACCCCAAAATTCCTTAAACCCTAAACCCACGGGATAATGTAGCTTAAATTCGATGCCTTAACAGCAACGCAGTTTAGGGGCAGCTCATGACAGATCGCGTGAATCCTTGGGATGCCTGCTTTGGTACTTAAGTCAAAAGTTACCAGAATGTGTGTGTATATATATATACACGGTTTAGGGTTTAGGGTTTAGGGTTCTTATATATGTATACATATATATATATACAGGAAATAATGGGTTTTCCCCAATATAGTGATTTAATTTAAGCTTAGTTTGGGGGCGATGGACGCCTGTTATGGGCCTTTATTTCCCCAGGGTTTAGGGTTTAGGGTTTACCCTAAACCCTACACCCTGTTTAGGGTTTCTTGGAGCCTTACATGCCCGCCCACCATAAAGCCCTACAAGCCCAACTACCTTCCCTAATACGTACGGGACCCTTGTCCTGTACCCATGCTTAGGACGTACAGGTCAATCAAATGGAACAGAAGGTGGAAAATGAAATGGAAACTGGGATTAGAGGGTAGTTACAGGGCTACATAGGAGTTATATAGGGATAACGGAAAAGAACATGGAAACTGGTATAAGGGGGTTATAGAGGGTATACTCCTGACATCCCTGGTCCCAAACCCATGCACCTTGTGACCTCCAGGTCCACCAAAATTATCATGACGACGTTGAAAGCGCTTCTTAACGTCACGAAGCAGTACGGCACGGAAGCATACGAGAGCCAGGCTGACCGGGCAACCTGGGAGTTCCAGAATACTGGGTTGCTGTTAAGGAACTTAAATCAAGTTACCATAATGGGTATATATAGTAAATAATAGGGTTCCCCCAATATAGTAACTTAGCTTAAGTTCCCTAACAGCAACCCAGAATATGTTTGGATGGGGACCACACTTAGGGTTGAGGGTTTAGGGTTGCGGGCGCCGCGCAATGCCCGCAGGCCTCCAAGATAGCAAACTCCAAACGTAAAGCCGTGTCCCGAGGGGTACCCAGATCTTAGAAGCATCAGTTGGACCCGGTTCATCCATATCTAAGCCTAAGTTCCTGCCTGCCTCTCGGAAGATCCGGAGCTGTAAGCTCGTAGCCCTAGCCCGAACCCTTGCTCAGGGGAACCCCAATTCATCTTTTTTGAAATTCGGCTATACTGGAAGAGTGCTAGGACCAGAGCGCTCCCTTGCACTTTAAGTTGGGTTTAGGGTTCAGAGTCAAAGCCCAGCAGGGGGCTTGGGGTTCATAAGTCTCTTTTCTAGCGCAAGCTGGGCAATTAAAAGCGACCTCACCTGACCTCACCCTAAATGGTGGTCTATATAGGGAAACGTACCAAAATGGCCTTAAATTATGTATTGAAGTTATTCTGAATCACCCTGTGCAAGGGCAGACTATTGTTAACGCTTTGCTTCTGATGGCTCTGAGGGAAAACCAAGCCTGCGAGGTCTTACTGGGGCTTCAGGGACCACAGAGATTGCAGTTCTTGTGACATCCCGCGGGCAAGGTTATCAGGCACAATAAATAAGAATATCGAGAGAGAGATATATATATATATGCATATATATATATGTATATATGTATATATATATATATGTGTGTGTGTGTACAGACACAGAGAAAAGAGGCAGAGAGAGAGATAGGAGAGTGAAGGCCGAATGACCATTGGAACCTCGATGAATGACACCCATCCTGCAAGCATCTTCCCATTTTGCTCATGATACGGCGCCGCCAGATCCCTCGGGCACTCGATTGGTTCCCTATCTACAGTGAGAACGCGCTGATCTTGGGCTGAAGTACTCAAGTATGTCAGGGCTCAGGGTTTAGGATTGCATTTTCATGCTAGAACCCAGAAACTAATAGAGGCAGTAAGTACATCGATCACGGTAGAGAGGCCCAAGATCCTACGGGACACTAGGTGTAGGGTTTACGGACTGTATTTCATACTTTCCGTCTATGGGGGGACCCCAATATCAACCCCCAAAATGCTCAATAGTCCTTATTGGGGCCCCCAAAATGGCACCCTCAGTAGGGTATACTACCACAATTCTCCGGGGCTTAGTTACATGGGGTCATGCAGGATGTTGTCCGCCATAAAGTATAGTTGCCAGGGGTCAGCGTTGTCATTGGCCAGTTCAGGGTTTAGTGCTTCATAATTTCAACGGAGGTCAGTTTGATTTTTTTTTGTTTTTCCTACCCCTTATCCCTACATAGTTCTTATAAATCCATAACGGTAATCTTTGAGGGCCCCAAAAATACCCTAGTCTAGGCGTACCTTAAGGCTCCACATAGCGTAATGTAGGTAATATGTCTAGACTTTGGGGCCCGATGTAAACGTTTTTTTGTAGACTTGGAGCCCCCAGGGTTAGAACCCTAAGCCCTAGTTGGGATTTAAGAGTTTAGGGCTTAAGGGTTTGGTTCAGGGCTCTGACTTCAAGCGTTCAGGACATAGGCGCGGCTTGCAAACCTATGCGGAGTCCTACTTCGGCTAAAAATCAAAAAATAGCATCCCATAATTTCTGGGGCATAAGCTACTGAGGGTGATGCAGCATTTTCAGCATCCACTGTCGGGTATCTCAAACCTTCCCTGAGAGCCTCTTAAAAGCAGTCATATGGGGAGTTGTCGAATTGAAGGTCCTCTTTGGGCTCCCATTATAGTATGGCTCAATCCCAGGAATGTGGCACAATTTGAACCCCCCCCCGCCTTCCCCCAATCTTGTTGGCCAGTAAACTGTTTGATGCCCAGTGCTTCACTTGTCATCTTCTAAGGCAACAGCCAAACAACGAACACAATTTAGGGTTTAGGGACAGGTTTTGCTTGGGTTTGGCGCAGGCAGAAGTCATGTGTGCATATGTACATGTATAACATTGGGGGTAGACATACGCCCCTAAACCCTAAACCCTAAACCTCACTCAGGCAAGCCCTGAAATCCAAAATCCTTCAGTATTTCACCCGAAGCTCTGGATCCAAAAAACGCGCAGGCGCCAAGCCCGTATATGATACGCCCTATATATCCACTGAATCCTATGTGGGCTATAGTCTCAACTCCTTAAGGGGGTTATCTAGGGGATTATATAGGGGACTACTATAGGGCTTATTAGGGGGGAAACTAGAAGTTTAGACTCTAGCTCATATTTAAACCCCATATAACCCCATGAATTTCAACCCTGAATCCTTAACCATCCGGAAGAGCTCAGGAGTGCCAAAGTGCTGCAGGGTGGAGCCTACCTGAGTTGCTTGGTCCCAGAACTCACTGGCAGAGACGGGGGTTGTTGTTCAGGGCTTTGGCTTCAGGGTTTAGGGTTGAGGGCTTAAGGTTTTGGGTTTTGGGCCGTAGGGGTACTTTATCAACTACATTCCTATATGGTCTGGGACGCCTGTTATTTATCACGACCAGGAGCCCTGAAGAACCGCCAGCCCCAAGGAGTGGGGTTTAAGGCTCAGGCTTTAGGGTGTAAGGATTTAGGGGTTAGAAGGCTCTGCATGCCTCACATCACGTAAAGCAAATGCGAGTTTTTCGACCGGATCCTCAAAACCCCCTAGCTGTGTGTATGAATGTGGTAGGACACACACTTCCCAAGCCCTATGGGGGTTTGCACAACTTAGGTGTCTTTTTGGGCAGTCCCTAGAAAGAGGTTATCTTTGAGATCGGGGGCTCCCTGTCTTCTGGAAACGCCGAGAAAATTCTCCTGGGCGATCCATAGCTTTTCAGAGGCCTGTCGTTCTGAGTCTAGCTTGTAGCGAACATGCCACAATATATCTTCACAAACAGATCATGCTACCTTGCCTGGAAAAACGTGTCTCATGTGAAAGCAGATCTCAAATAATCAGTCCCGGAGCACCACGCGCAAAGGCCTAGGCTGCCAAACTCAAACCTAACCTAAACCTTACCCTTGTAAGGTTTCAATTCTTCCAGGGTCCCTTTTTGCCCAGTTTGGACCCCATAACCCCGGGCCTATAGAGGACCCAGAAAACACCTAGGGGCCCATGTTAGGGGCCCATGGTTAGGACCAGAGCCCTAAACCCCTGAACCCTAAGCCCCTAAACCCTCAGCTCAGAATCCCAAACCGTCCTCCCGATGTACTCCGATGTCGGCGAAGCCCTATCACCGCCCGAGACTCAGAGCAGAGTGGGAGGGGAGGGCTCAAACAGAGTGACTCGGGGGTTTACGGTTTAGGGGTTTAGTGCTTTGGGGCTCTGGGTTTACGGTGGTGCTGAAGGAGGACTGGGGGGAAGGGACGGGAGGCCTCGCACCTCGCGCCTCTGCCGACATTCGCGTCTGCCTTCGCGCCGGCGCGACCCGTCAGGCTGATCGGGCCCTGACCCCGGAGCAGGAGGCTGCCCTCCTTGGATGGACCAAGGACGCAGCGGCTGCTGCCGCCGCCGAGGCCTGGCGTGCCTTTCGTCCAGCTGATGGTCTACTGCTCTTGGAGGCCAATGTGAATTTGCTACCCGCTGCCTTCGTGAGTTATTTTGGCTTGGACGATCTCAACTCGGCAGAGTTCCTGGCAGCCGTGGCTGACGCACTCAAGCTGGCTGTCGACTGGTATTTGAAACAGGAGACCGAGTTCGCCGCTTTGTAGGTATTTTTCTATGGAGATGCTGCAGGGATTAGTTGGGGGATCCATGAAGCACCAGTCAGCTCATAACTTTGGCAGGGTGATGAAAGCAGTGGTGGTAATCCCCTCCTAGTAACAGAACCTCCCCCCAATAAAGCCGACACCCAACATAGTGCCATTACATGCTAGGGGAATGTCAGTATACTATGCAACCATATTGCAAGAGGTTCGGGATACTTCGCAACATGCACCGCTTGTTCGTCAGAACCGTGAGGATATGCACAGTAAGAAGTACAGGGAAATTTTGGCGTCCCTCCCGCGGTTTCTATAGCGGGGTTTAGGGTTTAGGCCTTAGGGTTTCGAGAAGCTCCCACACAAGCATTAAATATCCTATCTTGCACCAGCGGGTGGGAGAGGTTCAGAGAAATCCTTCTGCTTCCGCGGCTGTGGGGATGTTCATGTTCACCCCCTCCCCATAAGAGTCATCCCCCCGACCACCTGTACTAGCAAATATTTCCCCTAATGTAGAATGATGTTTTCTTGGGCGGGAGAGTTGTCATTAGCGGGAAGTGGGAGGGCTATCGCAAGGTCCAAGCCTTGAACCATACGGTAGCTTGCATTTTCCTTTCCATTTCCCTATATCCTCCTCTGTACGTGTATAACACCTATATAATCCCCCAATTGTACACCACCCCTACATAAACACACTTTCCATGTCAGCTCCATTGTTTTTTGATTTCATTCTCCATGATTGGTGGTCATATCCCTTCAGCCTAGACCCTAAAACCCTCCTACCCATCTATATCCCATACATCCCTCACCCTAAACAGTACACTCTATACCCATTCATAATTCATAACCCCTACATCCTCTCCAATGGAGGGGTGAGATGTGACCCAGGGCATGGAGATTGTGGAGCAACTGAGGGTTCAGGGCTTAGGATCTAGGATTTAGGATTCTCGAGGGTTTAAAGTTGGGGGGGCTCAAAAGGTGGGATGCAGACAGGTGGGTCAGATGATTTCTGCTGTGGATGGAAGAAAATTTTCACCGGCTCTGGCTCCAAGAATGATATGCGCTTTCGTCTAGATTCCTTATAAGGGGGGTTATACAGGGGACTATATAGGGAAGTATCGTAGGGGTTATTATTAAGAGGGATACTCGGAGTGTAGACTATACTGGATCAATGCTACGGATCCTGTATACGTTTTGGGATATGGGATTCCTCATACTTATATTAATGTAAAAGGGATCCTTTACCACGACCTACCCCGTTTCCAAACAACTTTTGAGCTGAGTTTCGCCAGTAGTTCCCTTTCACATTTGAATAGCAACCACCAACCTTACAGTGGGGGGTGGTTGGTTCCACAGACCGAACTTTTTTCTTCTTAGGCTAATGTTTGCCAAACATACTGCTATTTTAGGGTCTTACAAGGTGGTAATTACAAGATTTCCTCGATCGACAGTACTGTAGACTCCAGTACGTTGGGGCTTGCTTCGCATGCCTTAGGAGGACCCCCACCATGTAATAGTGACTATAAGGGATATGAAGGTTTAAATTAGGGTCTTATTATGTTCGGGTTATACCAACCTAAACCCTTAAACCTTAAACCTACACCCGATTATACCACTATTTCACATTCCTATAATACCACGATTACAGGGTGGGGGTCCTCCCAACCCATACCCCACTTTCCTTTACCTCAATTTTCGAGCCCTCTGATACGCTCATAGGGCTTAGGGTTTAGGGTTCAGAATTTCGGGTTAAAGTTGCCCTACCCGCCCCACCTCCAGGGTTTCCGCCTTAGCTAAACCTCAAACCCCTAAATGGTAGTGTTCATGGTATTGCCCGTTTTCCTTTCAATTTGGTTCTCAGTTGTTGAGCGTACTATCCCTAAACCCTAATCCCTTAAACCCTTGAACCCTCAAACCCCAAACCCTTAACCCCTCAACCCTTAAACCCTCAACCCGTAAACCCTCAAATAGTAGACCCTGAGGCCTCATCCCTCAAACCCTCAACCCTAAAACCCTAAACCCGAAGCCTTGGTCCCCCAAAAAAAACACCGAAGCCTTGAGAGGTTCCCTTCGAACGGACCGCTTCAAGGATACTACCAAGGCAGATGGGCATTTCTAACCCAGGGTTTGCGGGTTTAGGACTGCTAGGTGGTACTAAGGTTTCGGGCTTAGGGTTGTACATAGGGACGATATAGGGAATATATAGGGATCATGGAGAAGAAAATGAAAGCCACTAATTTAGGGTTTAGGGTTTTAGGGCTTAAAGGGGTTCATAGGGAGTATATAAGGGGGTCATATACGGGAGTCATATAGGGAATATATAGAGATCATGGAAAAGAAAATGGAAGCTATTATTTTGGGATTAGAGGTTCAGGGTTTTAAGGTTTTACGGTCAAGGGTTCCGGGCTTAGGGCTTAGCGTTCGGGGTGGTTCAGGCTTCAGTGTGATTGGGATTTAGGTTTATTGGGGTTTGAGGTTATTGAGGTTAGGCTTTAGGGTTTTAGGGTGTAGGGGGAATAATGAAGAAGCAAATGGGAAATGGAGTGGACACTACTAGTTGGGGTTGAGGGCCTAGAGGTTGGGCATTTATTTCCAATGCAGGGCTCTGTTTCTATGGGGTATCGTGTTTTTGTCGTAGCAAATATTCAAGGCTTAGGGTGTATATCTTTATGTAAAGGGAGAGTGGTAGTTACCCCAACCCCAAAAAGCAGGAGCGTATGACAATCATGTTTTAAGGCTTCAAGTTAGGGTTAAAATTTAGGCTTTAGGGTACTAAAGCACGCGAACTATTGTAAGGTTTTCGCAGGGGCTGAGTTTAAGAGCTGTGTATGGTTTTTTCCTAAAATTGGCGGGCCTTGTAAAGGGGTGAGGGGTAGATCAGGTGGTGTATAGGGTTGTGGTTGGAGATTACAGGTTAGGGCTGGGTGTTTCCAAAAACTGGGGCCCTTCGGGGGAGTTCCTACGGAGAGGAAGGAATATAGCTAGCATGTTGGTGTCGATATTCGGGGGCCCCTTATTCTGGAAACTCCGGTGTGGCAGCGTGAGAGGCCTACAACCCTCAACCCTAAACCGCATTCTTTGAGAGAGACTGAGGCTCCCGGGTGCTTTAGCGAGAGTGAATAGAAGCGTATTCGAGTTTAGGGATATCACCTCCTATAACGGAGAACCAATGGAGAAACAAATGGAAAGCACATTGAAAATGAAGTGGGAACTAGGTTTATATAGTACCTAACAAAGTGTCGAGCCAGAAAAAAGGGGAATATGGGGTTATGCAGGGTTCCAAGGGGTTAAAAGGGTTAAGGGGGATTATATAGGGATATTCCCCGAATCATGGAGAGTGAGATGGACAAATCGAAATGAAATGGGGACTGGGTTCGCATATTGTGGGCATATCATGGTCTAGGGCATATATGGGGTCCAAAGTCCCGACCCAAAGACGTGAACTTTTCAAGGGCTCAAGTGTAAGACTCCATATTCAGTGTTTCTCAGCTCCGTACTGCAGAATTTGACAGATACGTCAGGCATGTGTCTAAGTAGGAAGGTAGGTACACACGCATATACATATGCGTATATCTATATATGTATACACATGTATAAATGCATGCACACTTGTGGCGTGCAACGTCCCGCTTACACTTGCAAAGCCGAGCAAGGCAGCGATTTGTTAGGCGCTTGGGTTGCTTCAGGTACTTTAAGGTCGTAAATGATCCTGGATCTTTTCTAGAGGCATCGTATAGGATATTGCAAGCCGACCTCAATAATTTATGTCGGCAACTATATATGGGGGTGTCCCGAAATTAGTCCATTTTTTGGGGGCCCCAGTAATGAGGATCATAAGATCTTGGGGTCGACATCACGGTCCCGTCGCTCTTGCAAGGTGAAAACAATGTCAAGGAGACCACGGATGCTGGCGCCTTGCCAAAACACCTAAACCCTGAACCATAAGCATGTGATTTTTTACTTTTTGGCACTTCGCCACACAGCTTGACCTGATTTAAAGGGGGTTTATAGGGGCTGGATAAGGATAATGGAAAAGAAAATGGAAGATACTAATTTAGGGTTTAGAGTTTTGGATGGACTCAGCGAGCCCAATACCCTTTCATTGCGGACTACGTCCACAATGGATTAGGACCCCTTATGACTCAGGGTATGTTCCTTTACCAAGGATCCGCGGTTTTGATATCCAGTTTTTCATGTTAAGATGCAACGAGCTAGGCTGGATGGCTGCAAGCAAGCCTGCATGATAACATTGTAAAATACCAATTGGCTCTGAAATTTGTAGGCTCCAGCATAATGAAACCTAAATCCTTAAGGTTTATAGGGATTAGGGTTTAGGCGCTAAGTCCTAAACTCTTAGCCTCAGCTGTGTCACCGTTTCCGGGCAGGCAGCGAGTCCCTCCCGTGGGCCTGAGGGGTTCCAGGTGAGTAGTATCTTATTTTGGGATAAGATTATATCCTCCTTTTGGAGTATGGTATTTTAAATAAGAAATATAATCTTACTGGGTTTAACCATCAAAAAAACTACTCAGGGTTCTCAAC